GAATTAGTGAAAACATAGTGATGTGCGAAACTTTTGGTGCCTGTCCTGACTTACTTGATCTTCGCCGTATTGATGATTCATTGTGTCTCAAGCAAATATAGAAAGCCTGAATGTAGTTATCGAGAGGATGAGGGTTTTAATGGAACGCTTGCAGAATTCTAGAATCTGACAATGAGAGGATTTTAATGAGTGCAACCATAAGTATTGGACTTAGAATTTGAGAATGAGAGGAGATGTAATAAGCACATGTGTAATGAAATTTCCAGAAACATTAAAGGCCAATTACAGGAGAAGATAGGAAACAGAAAAAAGGGTAAAAACAGAAGAAATTAAGAAATAAATACTCACACGAATCCTTACTGTACATCCTTGAACCTGTTCCTATTCACACGGACAGCAAGGTAAAGATGAGGTTGCACTATCGAGCAGTTTCACTAATTGACTTTCAAGCAAATGGGATAGGTCTCAGGTTTTAGATTTTACTAAATCTAAAAGACTGGAAGAAGATAAAACCAGGCAGCTCAAGCTAGTGCATAGTGTGCTTCCAACAAAAAATAGTAAATCAGTACTCACATGGCCACTGACATGAAAATAATCCTACCTTACATTATTCTTTTCTTTGACTCAATTTAAAAACTATGAAAAAATATCACAACTTGTTTAAAACAATATCTCGGCCCCTCCCTCTCCTCTCAGTCTTACTTGAGAATGAAAGATACTAAGTATGCCAAGGGAAAGAGATATACATCCAGCAGAAGCTTGGAAAGTTCAAACACAAAAAAGTATATCATTGACGTTAATAATGAAATTCCAATTTTGATATGCAAAATTCTCAAAAAATAATGAAGAAAACCTTTCTATATGTTTAGAAACCGCGCAAAAATCTATCTTCCATATAAGGCTTAAATCTCAATACTGTAGAAAAACAAATAAGATGCAGCCTTTTGTTCTGAGTCGTATGCTTTTCGAGATTAAATCGAAGAGTCAATGATTATTTTCATATGATCAACTGAGAAAAATTAAATTTGAAATATCTATAGTCAAGTTGTGGCACACTTCAAAGGTGAATTAGTTGCGTGTTTGCCAAACATTGCCCACACAGAATAGCTTCCCTGTAGCAGCATTCGTTACACTACATTGTCACACCGATAGTCCACACAAATACGATGACAGTAATTGTAATTCCTCGGTCCACAACTAACAGAAACATACTAAATAGAAAATGCATACATATTTTCAGATAAAGGTAACCATAGACTAAATGCTACAACCCCAAAAAACACACAATCAAGATAACAAGTTCAGCTGTTTTCTAGATGTCAATAAGATTACAACAACTAAACCCTTTAAACAATTAAAGCACGTAAAGTTTATATCCTAAGCCTTATCAATTATGATCATAGAGCTAAAGTGCCAACAAAAATTTTCCAAGGAACTGATCAATAAGCACAAAAATTCTAGGTATCCTCCGCTCATTGATGAAATTGGAAGTAAACATCAATTTTACATTCAGATTATCAACAGCAGTGATAGACACAAAATGACTTATTTCTTGATATGTTAAGAGATGAAACTTTTCCCACAGGAATGTACTACTAATGTCGATGAGCTTAAATCATGTTAATTAGTAAAAATGATTCAAAATGCAGCAAATTCTTACAAACAGAATCTGAAGAGGGAAACACTATATGCTGAATGACAAATGAGAAATCCTTTTTGGAAATGCCTAAAGACATTTCTCCACCTGCTTCCATGCAAAAGAACAATCATCACCATCACAAAATTCGATTAACTGAGACAACCTACTATCCAAGTACCTCCATCAAACAAGAGACTCAATAAAAAAACACAAATAAACCAGTTTATCCCAGAAAATTCCGATGAAGCATATTCATTTACCTTCAGAAAAATACAGACCACAACAAGTACGTGAAGCCCATTAATGATTCGAACGGAAAACTTAACCACTAGAAAACGAAAGAGAAAAATTAGCTGAATTATCACTTGAAACGGCGGTCTAAAGGGCAAGAAAAGAGAAAAAACACCACAAATTCATCAAAACTACAAACGACAGAACGACAAAAAAAAATCCCAAAATGAAAAGAAAAGATATTCATAGCCCACGAAAGAAAAAGGTGCAGAAATTTACCTCGTAGATTCCGCAAGAGATTCTCAACAATCCATGTCTGTTCTTCTGATGAGTGTGTGAATTTCATATGGCTTCGATTTGTAAAGAAAAGACCCCTTTTGTTACAGCTCCACCCCAAATTGTTCGTATTTGTTGCCCTGCATTTATTTCTTTAGAAGTTACAACAGACTAAGTTGGGCCTAGAATTCGGAAATTGTTCGGCCTTTTCGTGATTTGAGATTGTGACCAATGCCTTTGAATACGGACTGTGAGAGAATAGCTCATCTATTGGGCTGACTGTTCTCATATAATGCACAATAATGATCTATATATATATATATATATATATATATATATAATTGTGGACAAGTTCCAATAAATTTTATTCAGTCAACAATTAATATAAATAGGACTCCATTTAATAAAAATTTTTATGACAATAAAATTTATTCAGCCAGCAATTAATGAAAATATGAGTTCATTTAATAAAAATCTTTATGACTAACAATCAAATGACAGTTACACAATTAAAATCTTATTATTATTAATTTTTTATGTTGTAACAATTTTACCAAATTTTAATTTTTTTAGATATACAATATTAAGTTATTTTACAGTTAATATTCCTATTTTGTATTATAGTTACATATAAAAAAAACGATTTATATGAATGTTAAATAATTTATATTTATATTATATATTTACATATATTCAAAATTTTAAATGAATATACATTTTATCTAATTTAAATTTTTAAATATCATATACGTACATATAATATATAATTTTTTGTTTCATCTGTGCATGTGCACAAGATCGAATACTAGTTTTAGATTATGACCAATGCCTTTGAATAGAGGAATTTACACCTCATGCTATCAAATATAATTTATATTAAATATTTACACCCTATTAATATTTATTTGCAAAGATACAAAATCACCCAATATATTTGCACATATACCTTCATCCTTATCCAAATTCAATCCAATTCTGTGTACTTAAAATAAGAAAAGAATTAACAACTACGGTGACCACTGGTAATATTATGATTGCAATGAGGGTGAAAGTAACAACTTTCAATAGTGAATTTTTTTCAACTATTTATCTGTTCTTTTTGAAACCTAATCATCGCCATTATTAAATTGCTTAATTTTCTTCTACTATTTCATAATTAGTTCTATTCGTAACAACAACCTACGTCAGTGGCATAATGATAAATTCCCCCATGGCAGAGATTGTTGTTCTGAAAGAATGGTAAAACCATATTGCCTATTTTCTTCGCTACATATTTCTTTTGCTCAACATATGTTAAAGTGAGTTAAATTTAAATATATAGGTATATTGAACACAAAGAAGAAGTAAACCAGCAACTGGAAATGAAAGTCTATGAAGACCCGGAGTTTCCCTTGCCACCACCAAATGAATAAGATATTATCCCAGTACAATCAGCTTTGAAAAATTTGCAAGACGTAAGTGAAGGGTATTCTGTATTGGTGATTTCTTACATGCTAAATACTGTGTGATGCATTAACAAGTTACTTTATATTAAAATCCAAAATTCATAAATTCATAAATGCAATAATACTCTAAGTCCACAGTCATATAATCCAGAATTCATAAATGCGGAAGCATAACCAATAATAAGACCGGTCTTATAGACCACCACTCGCTCTACTCCGCCATCGTGCCTGCCTCGCTTAACCTGAAACGTGAATTTCAGGTGGGGATGAGCACAGTAGGAAAAAAGTAGTGCTCACCACTATGCAGTAAACATTACTCAAACAAATCAACAGTATGATCTCAGCATGAATAAGAATCAATTTAATATCCCAATCTCCTGTCATCATAATATCGTCATAAGATCGTCATAAAATTAAGACTCATGTGCACACCTACGCATAGACTACTGCTGACTATATATCGAATGCCCTCGGGTCGTACACCGAGTGCCAGCCAGTAGGAGTAATTCACTACTGCTGACTATATATCGAATGCCCTCCGGTCTTACATCGAGTGCCAGCCAGTAGGAGTAAACCACTACTGCGGGGTAAAATACCGAATGCCCCTCGGGCTTCTATCGGTGCCCAAGCCAGTAGGGGTAAATCCTCAAAGGAGATTACCCAATGGGTACGTTCTATAGCTACGGGGATAACCGTTCGACGGCCGGTACAGCTCACATCGAAGGCTACATGGTTCACATGCATACTTTGATCATATCATAATTAAAACAGTAATTACATTTAAGGCATAACAATTTTAGAATAACAACCCACCTGGTTGCTGGAATGGAGAATCACACACAAAACAAGAAAATCGATCGAGGCTTCAGCTCACCGAACCTACATATATTAAAATAGTCCTATAAATAATTATTCCACACATTTAAACACTCATATCAACATTCTCTTAATTAGATTCAACTCATATAGTTCACATAAGCAAGCATTAAAAAGATAAGTTTGATTTCCGAAAACAACACATAATTTTTCAAAACATAACCCGCGCAGCGATTTTGAAATCAACACCAAAAGCAGCACAAAATTCATATTGACACGAAACCAGTTGAATATGGATTCTAAGACATGCCTCTACAATCCTTATAAAGACATCAGAAGCAAATAATGATATTTAACAGGTTTTAGAATATCAAACATATGAAACAGGGATGCTGTGAAAAATCTGGAAACATGTAGTGGACAGAACCTCAGTATATTCAATATAAATGGAGCTACAGACATGCTATCAAGAAAATTTCAAAACCAAACTGTAGCTGACCCAAATATCTACAACTTTGCTGAAGAACACATTGACAAATAATGATGTTATCCACGGTTTTAAACACAAAACACTTAGGTGAGAAAATCTGTTAAAATTTGATTTAGTTTACAAACAGCATCTCAGTACTTATAATCTAAATCATGCTATAGACCTCAAATTGACCAGATTCGAAAACCAATGGATAGCCAAGAAACATAGCAACAATTATCATGAAGACCACTTTCACATTTGAGCACGTTAGGACATCAATTTCAGACCAATCATTAACATCATATACCCAGCCGATTTCCAGAAAAACTGCTTGCATAATATTTTTATAAAAATCACATCTCAAGCTACACCTTATCATATTGACATGCTTTTTACCTTGTTAGAAACCTACGAGACAGTTCTATAACTTTCATTTGGAATGCTAAGGCAGATAAGGTCGTTACAGAGGGATAACATCAGTTAACATTTAGAACAACCTTGCTGTCCAAAAGTATAACTCACTACACACATATCCTACTTCAATCTAACACAAACCGAGCTACAGTAATCATATCAGCACGAATTGTACCTCATCAGAAAGATTAAAAATAGACCTATAACTTTCATGAAGATCACATTTTCATTTGAGCACATTGAGATGCAAAAAACAGATAAAACATTCAACACACACATGCTGCCGGGATTTGTTAAAAACTGCTTGCGCGACAATTTTGTAAAAATCATAACTCTCTCATTTCAAGTCGGATTTTCGAAATTTCAAAACTCACAGAACCACAACTGAAAGAACTACATACCATGTGAAGGACAAAACTTCAGAAAATGAGTTTTTATTGCCTTTTCAGAGGCTCGACAGAGGCTGCAAAAATTACAATTCAACACCAAGCATGTAGACCATTTATAATTCATATGAATTCAAATAAGGCCTAACATAAGATCATAAGAGGATTCTCATATATTCACATATCAACCACCTATACACGCATAAAATAATAGGGTTCAATCCTTCGGGTACCGTTCTCGAGATTCGTTCGAAAACGGGATGTAGGGTTCATTCGGCAACACGCAGTAGCTCGCTTGTCGGAAAACGAGGGGCTGTCCGGCGTCAATGTCCACTGCTGGGATGCTCACGGCCCGCTGATCGTGATCGGAGGACAGTTCACGGCAGAGGGCGCTTGCTCAGAAGTTGCAGCGGTGGTCGGAATTCGCCGGCTCGCGGTGGCGTGTGGAGGAGGTCAACAACGTTGCTACTGGGACCTGCTCGTGTTGACAGAGGGTCGCGGCGGAGCTCCACAGCGTCTGGTGGCTCATGACGGAGCAGGGCTGCAAGTCGCCGGTGGCAAAGGTTGCAGCGGGGCGGAGCTTCACGGCGAGGGTCGTCGGGCTCGTCTCTGTTCGCGGCGGAGATGATGGCGCGCTCACAGGTTGAAGACGAACGGATGGTGAAGGCGATGGCGTGATGATGTTGATGCTGTGTTATCTACTAGGTATAAAAATACACGGGAATCCTACGAACTGATATGTATTTTTTCAGTTCTTACAAATAATCTAAAAAATAGGAAATTATAATCGAACTGAAAAATAAATTACAACAAAATAAATTAAAACTTAAAACGGAAAGATTTTAGCCGAGGCGAGTAAAACTCTTTCCGCAAGAAGAATACGCCCCGTGTGGCAGCTAACGGTTCAGACGTAACTTCCCCAAAGATACAACGGCAAACGTCTCTAAATCTGTAGCACACCAGATTTACGAGCTCCGGCGAACTGGATCGGAGTCGAGAATTGAGCACTTAAAAATAGAAATAAAAATATCAATCTTTTGTTATTTTGATAAAAAAAAATAAATATTTTTTATATTTTTCTATTCTTCCTTTCTCTATATTTTTCTCTTCTTTTCTTCTGTGCATTTTCTCCTTCTGCCGATCACCCTATTTATAGGGAACAAAGAACAAATAATGCCTGGCCATAAGCCACCTGATTAATCAATTATTACAACTAATTGAGGCAAGTTGTCCCAAATGACAAAGGAATCTCCATCTTCACACGTCTTCAGCACAATTGGACAAATTAGTTTTTATTAAATTAATCAAGAGAAAGTGGTGGTTTAGCCTGGTGGTTTGGGAGTCTTTAATCAAAATCAAGTGGGATCCATATTTAATACACTCAATAATTACAATCCCCCACATGAGTGTAATTATATATATATATATATATATATATATATATATATATATATATATAATATATATATATATATATATATATAGGATTTGGTTCAAATGAGAACTAAGTTCTAGCGTGAGAACCGTGAGTACCGCTATTTATAGTTGTACGTAGTGCTATGATTGATTGTATTTTAGTGCTATTTTTAAAATGGATATATTTTCTTAAAAACAGCAACACAATTTATATTAGCATTTGTGAAAATGATAGCACCATGTAATATTAAAAATATCATCATACACAATAAAAAATAGCATCAAATACGG